GAAGTATAAGAATGATTTTCAATATGATTGAAAGTTCATTACTATAGAACTTAGATATCAATAATTAAAAAACAAAACAAAATATAGTCATGCAACATCATAAAATATCCAGCCAGGAGGGCGAATAACTGCTAGTTATATATGAATGAGGTTAGGTAACCTATATAAAAGTACAAATTCTCTTCTAGAAAAAATATTCCATACATATAACAGACGTTTTTATTGTTTTTAAAAATTGTCTTCGCAATTAAATACACACAAATTCTATTTTAAACACTTAATCCTATGAGCTTAACCCTTTCGTGGACCATTTATTTCTCTTTCGAATTTCTCGCAGTTTTTTTTATGTTTTATTAACAATTAATAATAGCATTTAAGGAAGTATGTTTTATTTCGCCAAATTTTATGTTAGCATTTAAATTTTAAGGGTAGGAAGAATACTTTCCCACTAACCATTCACCTTCATAAAGAAAATTAAATTTAATGGTGGTTATTTCCCATGAAAAGATGAGAAGAAAGTTGCAATGCACAGTGGACATCACATTCTGCAAATACGTAGCGGGTCCTCTTTTCTTGTCCCTTTCTGCAACAATTCCTACATCGTCTGTAGTTGGAAACCATCTTTGATAAATTATTTCCCTTATACCATCCGGTACTACACACTTCTTTGCTTAGAAGTTAGCAGGACGTCCTTTCTTTTTTTTCTTGAGGCATATCCGCCTATTAGCTGACGAGCTAATGCTGTACGGAAGCTGCTCTAAAGTTATGTGTTTCTTTTGTTCACTTACCATAGTTTGAAGCTATTTATGATGGCAAGTTTAATAAGAAAATAAGAGATACGATGCCACCACTTTACAAATCTTATTTGGTTTCTTTCTTTCTTTCTTTTTTTTGATCAAAGTGATCAACCCCTCCCATGACATCGTTACATACAGCGACAGCTTTTGTGTGGACAAGGTGCTTCTTCTTTAGTACCATCTTTTTTTGTCCAATTTACAGGTGTCATAATTGCTGGGTAATGTGCAGTAGCACAAAATTGAAGCTGGAGTTAGTCTTCCTATTGTCAGAAAAGCAAGGCCAATATATTATAATGGGTTTTGCGTTTCCCACAGGTGTATTTTTTAAGATATGTAGATGGGAAGCAATCTCTTCCAAGGCCCACGAAAGTCTTAATAAGCATAAGAAAGAGGGATTACATATTAGTAAAATGCTACTATAAACTAATAAATTATATTGTTGCTAATGTAAATCATGTCAACAAGTGGTCCGATGTTATTATTCCACGATAATTCTTATATCCGTCAGACCTTAATCGAAAATCCATACCTAAAACTACGAGCAAGTTATTTATTAGCAGTATATCTTTACTTTTCGAATGATGGCCACTTGTCACGGGATTATCATTACTCAAATATTTTTCTTCAGAGTTCGTTGAAAAGATGGCAAACGGTTCACTACTTCAGGTTTGACTCGTAATTCAATGTATTCTAAATGTTATTTTATTACCAGTGTTAATATATTTCAAAAAAATCTCATCTTACTGTTATAAAACTTTTAATTGTATTTAAATTTATTTTCTTTATTGTTTGAACTAATTTTCAATGGATTAAATTATGCAATAGTTATACAGATATTGTTTAGGTAGAAGTTCTTTTCCAAATTTTTATCGTCTGCTTTAATTCAGTATATGACTCACGTAATTCTAATTTATTTCTGATATTACTTAATTTATTTTCTGATATAATCGTTTGTTGTTAAAGTTATGTTGTTTAAGCTGGAGTCTTTTTCAGTTATTCTAAACATGTTTTTTTTTCTAGTTAGTAAAAAGAATGGTAGTGCATAATCGACGCTGGTTGAATTCAGTGAGTAATTAATTTATATATTTTTGATATAATTTTTGTATATAAACTTTGCCTTCTGTTAAAGCTGTCTTCGGTTAATGTCAAAGAATAGAACCCAAATTCGGAATATTTTTCCAAATATAAAAGTACTCAATATTAATATTATATTCTGGTTTAACTATCTTTTGTAGAGAATCAATTATTTTATTATACTACTCATTTTTATCCGAGTTGGCACATTTTTTCTTTTATAAAATGTATTAAACATTTTTCTTCCTATACCGTAATGCTAAATGAGCTATTCCTTTACATGTTCAAAGGAAAAACTTATTACTTATGAAATATTTTTAAACTTTAAAAACACTATATTATGCATGCATGAGTTACAATGTCATAAATTTTTTTATAAAAGTTGGGGCATTTTTTTCTGTCTTAAAATGTGCTTCGCGTTAAGTTTATGCTGTAGTACAAATGGAGAAAACAGCCTTAATCACAATGACTTTTTGAATCTAATAGGCCTTTGTGGTAAAAAAAAGTTTTGGTTTTGTCTTTTCTAAAAAAAGTTTTCTAATAAGTTTCTCTACTATAGATAGAAACAATGTGCTATCGACAACAAACCTTGTAATTAAGAACTATATGATGAAAATGTTACTTGAGATAATACTTAATTTACGAAACTTTCATCCTACAACACGTGAAGATTTGGAACTCAACCGCCATTATTTCATATGTTTGTCTTCAATGAAACCAGAACTCGCGCTTAAAAACTCTTAAAGTGAAAAGATTAATGTAATCGTTTAGCAACTGAAGAATTACAATCGTTATAATATGGTAAACTTATGAAACCGAGACAAAGAGAAATCTGACCACGTTTGTATAGTAATCATAATTCCAGAGTTCGTTGAAAGTTGATTCACAAATCAAAACAAGAATTAGAACAATTTTTATTTAAATTAAATGATTTCCTACATTCGCAACTTTTGAGAGATATGATAAAATGAAAACCTAACCTTAACTTAAAATAAATAGAATAATTTTATAGAAAAATGTAAAGTATATGAACTGTGTAATTTGCGAAACTCTTCATACTACTTTAGATTAAACCAGGCGTGTCAAACTCATACGATATTACGGGTCACATAGTCTATTTTATTATAAGTTGGGAGGCCGCATGTTTTGTCTTTAAAAAAATGTACAAAATTTGATATTTTTATAATGTATTATCAATATTATTAGACTCAATATATTGTATATTATATATTAGTAATAGTTTTATGTTATTTTTTAAACTTAAACTACAAATATTTTCCCTTTTTTATAAAAAAATAATTGTAAAAAATTTAATTTAACATTAATACATCGTTTTTTCACAAAGCAAGTCATCAGGATTTGATTGAAAATATTGAGTTGATGCAATTTTTAAGTTAATCCTGACCTTTCTGAATTTTCGTTATTTTTCATTAAATGAAATAATTGCCGGCATAAATAAGTGCTTCCAAACATAACCATTATTCGCATATTAAACGACTAATTAAACGATTAATGATCTACTTAGAAATAGGTACAAAAATGTAGAGTTCCAACTTCCATAGCTCTGTACATCAACAAAGAATAACATTGAATTTCAACTAATTTCATATGTAAGCTTTCGTCAACAATTTCAGTATCGATAGATAGAGGTCGGGTAAAAGCGAGAAATTGAAACATGCAGCTTTTAAAACAAGAAAATCTTTGGTCTGTAATTTCGTTTCTAACAATTTAATTTATATATATATATAGTGAGCATATTCAGTAAATTTTAATTCATTGATTTAATCCATATAGATATTGACATACTTTCAAAGTAAGACAAGTTTTCTTTTTCCTATTTATTTTCAACAAAGTAATAATTTTTAATAGTATAAAATAAAGTTGTAACCACTTGAATTTCGCTTTGGAGTTTAAAATTAAGTTGATTAAGATGACTTATAATATAAACAGAGAAAGAGATGTCCTTTATACATTGTCCATCTCTTTTGATTCAGCACATTCATAATTTTTGTTTCCCAGAGGTTTGTAGTTTCATCCAGCCATTTGAATAATTTGAAGAATCGTTTTAACACTTTATGATTTGAAAGCCATTGAACTTCCGTATAATATGGTTGATCGTCGTATTCGCTTATTTTATCTTCCAGAAATGAAGCAAATTGACGACGATTAAGTCTATGTTCTCGAGCGAGTGAGTGAATATTAACGTCACACTGTTCAGCTACACGAGAGCTTTTGGCGACAGACCTCGTAATTTTGAACCATGGTAAAGTGACGAGGACAACATCTGAGCTGGCACCACCTCTCCTAACTACCACACCACACCAACGGGAGGACTTTTTAGCTCTCGATAGATTTAATGTGCATAGCTGCCCTACACGGCGGGTCTTTAGTGGTACTGGGCTCGAACTTGTGACATGCCAGCCACGATCCGACACCTTGACCACTAGGCTACTGCAGCCACTCTATGTTCTCGAACATAATTTACAATTTTGGTTACTATTTTTAAAGCATGTCCTATATTTAAAACCTAGGACAATACCTGTTGGTGAATAATACAATGAAACTGTTCAAAATTATTATTACCATGCTGTTTGCATGTTTCCCCTTTAATGTTACAACTCCTTTAGAAATGCTGGTCAGGGTAGATGTACTATATTAGTTGCAAGGCAACCAATTTTTCTAAAAATAACTTAAACTTCATCAAAACTATCAGCTCCACTGGATGTATTATGCATAAGAATGAATTGCAAACGAGAGAGTTCTTCACTTATTTTTAAATTAACATCACATCCATGAATAAATACAGCCAGCTGAGAGATATTTCGAATATCTGTACTTTCATCAACAATCTTTGCTATATAATAGACTTGAAATGTTGATATTGTTGAATTATGCTGATTTTTCAAATTCTCGGCTATTTCATCAACTCAGCTAGCTACAATACTTCGAAATGACACTTTTAATTTGATTTATTTGTGATGTACGTAATATTTCTGCTATTTTAAATAAACATTCACTTACAAATTCCCTTTCTGTAAATGATTTAGATCTGCTTGCGTGATTAAATGTGATAATATATTTTTACAGTATCTGTATAGTCTGCAAAAAATTAAATGAGTACATTTTATTGTCGCCCATTCAGTATGGTGGCTATGACCCTCGGCTTGCAACCGAGTGGGTTCGGGTTCGAATCCCGAGTAAGACATGGTTGTATCTTCTTCAGGAAAGAAGTCGGTCTTTCGCCTGTAATAGATTCCAGTCTCGAAAGGAAAGTAGCGCACCTCTCTTCTTGTTATATGCTGGGATCATCATCTGTAATAAATGTATATATTCTTCTGTTGTAGTGTATGCTTTCTGTTCTTCATCACTTGTATTTCATATGTTCCCAGGATAAAAAACACACAACAAAAGTACAGTTTATTTATTTTTTTAAAGGTTTGGTCTCAATTCGGATGTGTCTTTACTAAATTTTGCAAAATATTGGTCATATATATAGTTTGCATCATGATTTGTGTCACAATGCCTCTTAAGGTTATATCCCTTAGCTACTGAAATTGAATTTTTTATATCAAGCATATTTTATTCTTATTTTAGACATAGAAAATATTGCCTTTTCAATTTTCTAGAAAATAACGACGTTCCTCTTCAATTGATCTTTCTTTACTCATTATTGAAATTTTATTACTTTTTATTAAATAACTTTTTTTGTTTAATATGACTGAAAAACCAAATACCCTTATATTCGCAAACGATTAATTATACTTTGCCCTTTATGTTAACCACCTTGAATATTTTTTTAAACGTTAAAAAAAATCTGTGACTGCCACTTGCTGATTGGACACTCCAAACAGAGAAGGAGGAAGAGAAATAAGTCCACACACGAAGAATCGGTGTACCAACCATAGTTAAGAATATCCATAATGCATTACAGAATGTTATACAGAGAAATTCATTATAATAAAATCAAAAATGAAAACATTTAATAAATATAAAAAATATTTTTAATTAAAAGGCCATTCCTATTATTAAAGAGGATTTCTTTTAAAACAAGAACAGGTAACATTAATATATATATATATATATATATACAGGGTGTTTCAGCTAAGATGTTACAAACTTCTAGGAGAGGTAGGGGACAACAAGACGAGAGAGAGACTCGAAGTATATAGGCAATGCTGGGTCGGAAATGCTTTCCTAAGGCTCCACGCGCCGACAAAATTTAGGGTGCAAAACTTCAACTGGTCTTAAAAGCGGGGAAATTGTCGAAACGCTTTGGGTTTTGGTCAAAATTATTGTTATTCTTTATTATTTCATTAAAAAATTCTGAGCAATATTGCTGCTAAAACATCGCTAGAGGGCGCCTTAGACTTTGGAACGCTAGGGAAAAAAAAAATTTCAATATTTTTTTAAGTTTTTTGATGGTTTTCATAAGTTGAAACTTTTACTTGAATTTTGATACCAGATTTGGTATCCTCCGGGGAAAGTTGATGTACAAAATCGAACATTGTTTAGGGCACTTAAAGCACAAACGGTGTAAAAAACGAGCAAAATGTTGGATTTCGGTGCGGTTTGCGCGAAAAGCATTCCGTTACTGACTAATTTGTTCAAAATAAATTTTGACTTGGTAGCCATTAATCAAAACCAGAGGGCGCTTTCAGACATTGCAACTTGGAAACTCATTTGGATAATTTTGTGGTTGGGTGTAAAAATAATTACTAGCAATTTTTCCTCCTAAATGAGATTCGTGTGTTGTGCAAAAAGTAATTTTATAGCAAAACATTTTAGTAAAAGAGGTAAAAAAACACAAGTACCAAATCACAAGGAAAGACTCAAAATAGGAGGAAAAAGCTGTTTACTAACTGCTATGCATAATCATAAAAGAAAAAAGTAAAGAAAAGAAGGAAAACTGCTGTCAAAGGAGGTGTTCGAACTGACGCCCGCCGCATGTGATGCAGGCTTCACATCTTCGCTTCATGGAGCGTCGAACATTCGATAACATTTCTGGAGTGTTTCGTATTTCCCCGGTTGCTGCACTGATGCGTGCTACAAGTTCCTCGGCGCTGTTTACGGGTGTTTCGTACACCAAGGATTTCATTTGCCCCCAGAAGAAATAATCCAGACAGAAAAGGCCTGGCGATCGGGGAGGCCAATGAACTGGACCTCCACGGCCAATCCATCGTTCACCACATGTTGCATCCAAGTGATTCCGAACAGAAATACTGAAATGTGCGGGGCTCCATCTTGCTGGAACCACATGGAAGTACGAGTCGCAGCGGTAACGTGTGCGCTGTCCAATAAATCTGGCAAAACTTGTTCCAAGAATATCAGGTAGCGTGGACCAGTCAGGCGATCAGGCAGAATGTAGGGTCCTATTAGATGATCCCCTAGAATGCCCGCCCATACGTTAACCAGGAAACGATCCTGTGCAGCCCGAGTACGTGTTACATGTGGGTTCGCTGCTGCTCACGAGTGGCTGTTATGGGTGTTGAAAATACCCTCTCTCGAAAAAGACGCCTCATCTGTGAACAACACGGAGGCTGCAAAAAGGGATTTGCAATTCGTTGCTGCAAGTACCACTGTGAAAAGGCCTGACGAGGTGCAAAGTCACATTCTTTTTAGTGACTGGACGCGCTGGTCGTGAAATGGATGCAGGGCACTATCATCGAGAGAATCCTCCAAACGCTACTGTATGAAATCCCGATTTCATTAGCGATACCTCGTGTACTTAAACTGGGAGTGGTCTGTACCATATCTAGTACAATTTCCTTTATTCAATTCGGTACGTGCCGTCCGATCTCGATTACGTGCTGCCTTCTGGAATGAACCGGTTTCACATAATTGCTGGTGTAGGCGAGCAAACATGGTATGAGCAGGAGTCCGCCTGACAGGATGCCTTTCGGCGTACAACCTCTGAGCGGCTCGACCATTGCAATCTGTGGCCCCGTACGCCAGAATCATATCTACTTTCTCTGCGTTCGTGTACTCTGCCATCGTACAGCCAGTCTGTGTGCGATGGAAATAAAGCTTCCTTCCAGCGGACTCCTTCTTATCGTTCTGTCCCTCTGGCGGCTAATTCACCTCTCGACGGTGAAATTTGCATATTCTGCCTTTAACACTCTCTCGCTAAAATTTTCGCCGAGAACCCTGCTCGCTTTATTCACTGCCACGACACTTGCAATTCCTGGGCTACGTATCAGGCTTTCGATGGTCTTACTGCTTCAGGAAGGCATTTCCGACCGACCTTTCCTATGTGATTCCGAGTCATCTAGGTGTACTCTACCTCGTTGGTGGAAGAGTACACCTAGATAACTCGGAATCACATAGGAAAGGTCGGTCGGAAATGCCTTTTTACTTGTCTGAAGCACCTCTGGTTTTAAATTTGACAACAATGTCAAAATTTGTTTTGAACAAATTAGTCAGCAAGGGAATGCTTTTCGCGCAAACCGCACCGAAATCCAACATTTTGCTCGTTTTTTTAGCACCGTTTGTGCTTTTAAGTGCCCTGAACAATGTTCGATTGTTTACATCAATTTCCCCGGAGGATACCAAATCTGGTATCAAAATTCAAGTTAAAGTTTCAACTTATGAAAGCCATAAAAAAACTTAAAAAAAATATTGAAAATTTTTTTTTCCCTAGCGTTCAAAGTCTAAGGCGCCCTCTAGCGATGTTTTAGCAGCAATATTGCTCAGAATTTTTTAATGAAATAATAAAGAATAACAATAATTTTGACCAAAACCCAAAGCGTTTCGACAATTTCCCCGCTTTTAAGACCAGTTGAAGTTTTGCACCCTAAATTTTGTCGGCGCGTGGAGCCTTAGGAAAGCATTTCCGACCCAGCATTGCCTATATACTTCGAGTCTCTCTCTCGTCTTGTTGTCCCCTACCTCTCCTAGAAGTTTGTAACATCTTAGCTGAAACACCCTGTATATATATATATATATATATATATATATATATATATAAAGGTTCACACCTCAAATAAATTTCAAAATTAAAAAAAATTTAAAAGCCTGATATTTTTAAAGAGTCGGTTTAGAAGGAATGTACATGAAATTACTATGGTAATTCGCAATTTTCTTTAGGTAATATAATTCACATGATACCTATAATGTATATGAATTATTGATAAATAAAGTAATATTAATATTATCTCCATTGCGTCCAAGAACGCTATTATATAACAATTTAAAAACTGTAATTTATGTTTCGATATTTATGTGTCGGTAATATGTTTTCACTAATATCTCTGAATATATATAGTCCCGTTTGTAAAGAATACTTTCTCTGAATTAGCACAATAAAGATTTTGAACATGGAGCGTCTATTGGAAGGGAAGTATCTGCTTACAATACTGATTTGTTTTGATTTTAATTTGCGTCGCGCTGTGAAGCAACAGGAGTGCTATTGGCAATACATCTCATAAATTTGATCCACGATCAAATGACGAGGTCGACACCTGAGCTGGCAACTCCTCTTCTCCAAATTCCCACACCATGCGATTGGGAGGATTTTGAGCCTTAACCTATGCAGCATACAATATACACTCTACATGTTGGGTCTTCAGTGGTATTAGGGTTCGAATCCGCAACTCGATAGCCCTGGCCACGAACCCACTACCATTTTTGGTAGTTAAAAAATTAGAAGAGGTTAATTTAAATAAATATGTCAAATGTGTCCACTCATAAGACGCTTGTATTTATATAGCTTCAGAAAACATCTTGCGATATAACCCGATCACATGTGTGTATAAGAGCTATTTATAATCTTCCAAAACACATATATCGTCGGCCAAATTATCAGAATACGTAACTCCTTCTGGATTAACTTTACAGGTGCAAGTAAGAACTGTGGATTTTTACTATGCACGAGAATTATTTCAATGCAATTATGAATCTAGAAGTAAAAATGATAAAGGAATTTAATTTTACAATTTATTTTTAGATTTGCAAAGTAGATTATTAAGGAAATGAACTTATAAAAAGTCGATTTCGATATTGTGGAGTTACGCATTCTGATAAATAGGCCAAAGATATATTTTTCAAGAACAGATTTTATTTATGTAAACAGAGAAAATGAACTAATTTTCATCTGATTTTCATTTTTATTAAGAATTTAATTGGTAAAAGTCATCCCAACTCTATATTCTTAGCATATCTAGAAGTTTTCTCAAAATAAATTATTCTAATCATGCTATTTAATATTTG